TTTTTTTTTTTTTTTTTTTTTTTTTTTTGGATCAATCTCTTTTAAAAGTAATTAATTTCACTGTTTCGGATATTTGGAATCTTTCGTGGTTCTGATTAAATGTTTAAGGCCCACTGTCCACGAGAAAAATGTTAAATGTAATAAAAGAAAACCGATTTAATATTAATAACAATAAGTAATTATTAGATGGCAATTAATTAAAAAAAGATTTATCGAAAATCGATGTTCAACTCATTAAGGCCAATTGCATTGATACAATATCTCTCTTTGCTTTTTTCTTTTCAATATCGAATTCCATTTTTTATCATTATGATTATCACTGAAAGATTATCCTATTGTAATATTTCATCCTTCTTTTTTCTACTTATTACATCGCATGATTTATGGATATTCTCCTTCCACAACACTATTCAATTATTCCATTTTTAATTCTTTTACTTCAATCGTTTCGACATCTAGCGAACAGAGGGTCTAATACATTTAACAAAATGTACATATGCACATCGTTATATTCTTTTTCACCCGACTCGAGATCCTTTTCGAATACACGCGTTCGGTATTCGTAAAGGAGAATCTCCTAGGAGTAGGTCTCTTGAGAGATTTGGCGACAGGTTAAAAAAAAAAAATATATATATATAGAGAGAGAGAGAGATAAAAGGAGAGAGCAGTCACCAGTTAGATCTAACAGTTACAGTGGACAACGCAGAACAGAGAGTGAGAAAGATAGAGACAGAGAGATTTTTCTATACATGTCCCGAAACAGAGATAGAGAAAAAGATAAATAGAGATAAATAGATAGAGAATAATCGTGTGAGATATCAAGTGAGTCGTTGTGTTCTCGTGTGTTCACCCGTTATTCGTGTTACTATATCGGTGAAATTGTAATCTTTACAGTTTACTTACCGGAAGATCGTGAAGGGATGGCGTCACTATTAAATCCGAATGAGCGCGATCACCTTTCCTCTGAACAGACAAAAAGAAAAACGCTAATTTAATCGCTATCTGTGGCATTTTTATTAAATTAAATTAATCTATAATCCTTAAATTTCCAAAATAATAAACCCTTTTTTTTAAAACTACTTATAGTAAATATAAAGAGTACTATTTAAACCTTGATCACGCGAAAAATACACGTATCATTGTAACAATTTTGTAATTTTATTCAAATTCATTTTAGATTAAACCAATGACTACTACTCGACGATACCACGGTTTAGGCAAAGTTATTCGATTTCAGAATATTACATTTATAACATACCCTTGCTACTCGAGGCCTGTAAACCAAATCGTCGAAGGCAGCTCTGTCTTTGCTGTCGACGAGTTCCCTGAGCTCGGTAAGCAGAGTCAATTTCTCGTGTGTGTTCAGCAGGTCGCCTAAACTGACAACCAGCTCCTCGATTGTCATTCGACGCGTCCTGTAGTCGGCCAGAAGCTGAGAAAGGGCGGCCCTCTCGCTCCTCGCGAGGACCACCCTCGCTTTTTCCTCCACCATCGCGGCAGTTGCGGCAGAAACCATGTGTACGTTTCTGTGCCTCCAATCGCTCGCGATACTGAAGTGAAAATATTAAAAATATCTTCGAAATAATTATTCAGTCGAACTTGAATTCATTTTTAAAGCCAGACACGAAAATGATTTTCCATGAAAACAAAACGAACGTATTTAAGAATATTTTAAAGCGAAATTTAGTGTGTACATAAATTGGTTTATTTTTTGAAACTTTTGAGTTTCGTTTTCGAGAGTAGGTAGTTCGTTTCTTACGTAGGACTCGGTGGTCGATGGTTTCCAGGGCTCTCCAAGAGCAGAGGATCGTGTTCAGGGTATCTAGTCGTCGGTACAACGATAGGCTGGCTCGTGGTGCAAGAGTGTGGCACTTTTCCCACATCGCGAATCAGGAGTGTCATCCTTTTGTTAGTCTTCAATATTTCCACTGCCTCGTCGTGGGTCGCCTCCTCGAAACTCTGCCCATTCACTTCGATGATCTGATCACCTACCTGGATACGAAGATTCGACGTTTTATTCCTATTTATTTCCATTTATATTTAATTATACTGATTCAGTAATTTAATGGATGCATTATTTTGTTTTTAAACTTTATACGAAAGTTTTTATTAAAATTGATAAAATTTAAATTTCTGTGATTAGTTGGGTGAGGCACTTTTGTCATTGGAATGCTTATTATTTCAATAATGATCATCTAATTAATTCTTCCTGACATTGAATTATAGAACGAGCTAATTAATACCGTTTGTTACGTTTTATTCATAAACATCCTGTTATGTTTATCATACGTAATTGTAATCGCTTTTCCACGATTTATTTATACCGGACGTTTCACGTAATACAATATTAATGTCACAGGGAAATTATTAATTTTCGAAAATTGAAAATGTCAAAGTATTATTGCATCTTCATAGAATTTATTTAATATATTTTAAAACCACTTCTACGCATCCTCTTTCATCTTAAAATCCTCTGACATTCTAAACTTAAACATTTCCAACCTATTTCCAATCTAAGATTTCCAATTTACAATTACAATTTACAAAACAAATTTTTAACTAATTTCTCTATATTTCTCACGTGTAAATCATTACAAGCATCACCGACAATATCAAGGAAAGAACTGGAAAAACTTTCAAATTTATCGGTGAGAAAATGGCGCGTCGAGGAGGCGAGATCTAAAAATACAGCTTATCGAAGGAGGAAATAAAATCTCTTACCAAAAGTCCAGCCCGATCGGCCACGCTGTCCTTGTCGACCCCGGTCACATAAATCCCAAGGCCGTATTCGAGGCCGCCCCTGATCATCAAGCCGAGGGACTGGCCAGGCTCGATGTAGAGCTCGACCTTTCTCGTCCTTGGTCCGTACCTAGGGTCTCGAGGTGGATAAAGCGGCGGTGGCGAGGTTGGACGACCTTGACGGTCGATCCAGCTGCAGGACTGTTGTCGACCGGAAGAGGACCAGACAGGATGCCCACCTCTGCACCGTGGATCCAACGCTGGGCCTCGTACGGTCATGCTCAACGTTCTGCAAGACTTTAGCATCTGCAGAATAAAACGGAATTAATCATTAATTTTTGTCAATCTTTCGATCGATAGAGTAACAGGAAGCTGAAGATCTTAAGAAGAGGAAATTTCGAACGGGGATAAGGACGGCCATTAAGTTATCTGGATGCGACAGGCTCCAGGGGAGGTACTTATGAATCGGTTTTGAGAATTGGTTTGGAGAATGCTGAAGTGGAGAATTCGGGTTGAAGTTGGATTAAAGTAAAGCGATAAGCGAGTTTGTAAGATTGTAAACGGGGAGATTTTGAAAATTAAACCGAAATTAGAACAATTGATGAGAAGAGTAATTTAACGTGTAATAAATTTCATAGATTTCCGAGTGAAAAAGAGTTTAAAGAGCAACAAAGGAAATAAAGGATGAGAAATTACGAAATTAAAC